GATAAAATCAAATATCAATTTTATTGAAAGAGGAAGATTTGGGCAAGGCAATCAACCCTAATGCATTGTGTGGTACATAAGGGTTACGTGCAGACCAAAAACAAGGTTGGAGATCAAGCATAGAACACAAACAGAATTTGCAAAAATCAAGAAAAAGTGTGAATTCAAAATCACTCCTAGAGGCAGTTTCAAGGCTTGATACTTGTCTCAACCGTTTCCTGGCAGCTTCCACAACCTAAAGCGAGCAAAACCACGCGTTTTCAAGCCCTCCAGTGCACTGTAAGTCATTCACGGAATCACCATATTCTTGAATTCGAAAAGCTTCATTCTTGCATCTATAATGAAAAATAATTGCATATTCTGAATCACCATATCATTTGCAAGCTTTTTACAATAACCAATTTCATTTATATGACATATATCATGGATCACCATTGCTAGGGTTTTGTGTTTGGTTTTAGGGCTTCTTGTTTCAGGAAAAATTGGCCCTAATAATGGGCATGGTTGCAATCAGAAGGATGAGACGACCTCAACCATGGTCTTAGAATTCATTTTCATGGCCTGTACGAGATTTTGGAATGGACACGACTTGTAGTGACGGCCAACGTCTGTAGGCATACGTGTTACAAATTTTTAGCTATGGAGGGAGGACAGGGATGATGCGTTGGCACTCCCCCATTTGTCCATTCAAACAGCGCACATGTTTTTTAATTTTTCTGGCCATTAGCTTTTATTTTTTATATTATTATTGTATTGTATTTCATTAACAAATAGAAACACATGGCCTAGTGGTTGCCACACATGATTTCAGGGCATTAGAGGCTGGAGGTCAGGGGTTCGATCCCTGCCTCCAGCATTTGTTATTTTTCCAAATTATTTCAGGTAATCAGGTGCACACTCAAGCCAAGCATCCATCATGGACATTCACCATCCAGCGCGCCAGATGGCCAGATCTGGTGGCCAGCATTGAAGGTGTACCATGGACCCAGTCAAACGCACACGCAGGGGATCACAAAAGTCAATTGGATCTTCACAAATGGGCCAACATCCTTGCTATTCACACCTCACTTTCTCAGGCCCATTCTATACTTTTCTTATATTTTGCTTATTTAATTTCATTATTTTATTTGTTTTTATTTATTTACTAACCAATAACATAATTTCTTTTTTATCAAAAAATCACCAAAAATATTTTTTTTTATCCAATTAAATTTAAGAAATTTTATTTTTTATTAATAAATATTAATTAAATTAATTAGGTCATTAATTGTAGATAACTTGAATTTATTTTGTAAATAATAAAAAATCAATTAGAATTAATAGGTTTTAACTTTAATTTAATTATTTTATTTTCTTTCCTAAATTAACAAAAACTCCAAAAACATGTCATTAATTATTTTTCATTAATTAATTTATTTAATAATTAATTTAGCATTCAATTTTAGGATTTAATTTCTTTTCTTAAAAAATAAATAAAAAAATAACCAAAAACATTTTCTTTAATTAAAAGGGTCAAAACCCTAATTTCGAATTCGATTTAATTTCGCATTGCGCGCTTTATTTTTCTTTATCCAATTAATGTATCTGCTCCCGGTTTGTAATAATTAATTGGGATATTTATTTTTCCGCTTTTAAATTTCAAAGGGTTGCTTTTGGCGATGTAAATACCCGGCGCCTTGTAATAATTTAGTTTAAATTCCGCATTTTAATTCTGCAAATTATTCAACTACTGGATGTTTGATAATAGGGCTTGCATGACAAGAATGAATGCTTAATCTTAAAATGGTTAGATCACCCTTAACATGTGCAAAGATAAAGATAACTGAAATCAACACACTCGCACATGCACACTCCTAGGGTATACCTCACTTGGTTGCCTTCGTACACGGTCATTGAGTATAGGTCATTTTAAAGGTCGTCCTCTTGTCTAAAAGATCATAGTCGCCTCGAAATGGTTGCCTCGGATATTGTTGCCTCAAACAAATGATCTAAGACATTAGGGTTACCGCTAAGGCGTCCTAACATTGCTTTAGTGACCGTATGTCCCTCTTTCGAATTGACCCTCAAATTCCAACGACGGTGCTACCTACTCACTAATGGTGGGATATCATTGTCTAAAGGAAATTAGCATAGAACAATTCCTTTTTCGAGTAGGTAGATTAGTTCTTAAGTACTTGCTCTTTCAAAACAAAACTTTTTTCCACACTTACACTTCTTTAAAAAACAAAGTTTTCAAAAACACTTCATTACACTCTTGAGGTCAGAAGCAAGAGTTAAATCGAAGTTAAAACAAAAACTTTTCAAAACCCATAAACGCAAAGAAAACAATTTTGAAAACAATGAGCAAGTACCTAAGAGCCCGTGGAAAACCACGGATAGAAAGGGTGCTAATACCTTTCCTTTCTATAATCTACCCCCCGTACTCAGAAACATCTCAAAGAAGGAATTTTTCTGTGCTTTTTTCCTTTCCTTGTTGGATAAAATAAAAGCCGATGGCGACTCTTGCTTACCGCGATATTTTGCAAAAACAAACGCAAAACGCAAACCAGCATTCCAAAAACAGTCAGTTCTTCCCACCGTATCACAATATGTTAGCATGATTACATGATGTCACAAAAAAGGCGGAATAATAACGTTCACTTTTGGAGGGATGGAAACAGTTTGGTCAAATGGTAAAACCGACGCTTCAAAGATGTCGTTATCTCATATGAGTTGAAATTCGAAAATGGCATCTCTGGGGGGCATTTTGTTACCTTGAAAATTTGGGAAATTGGAGCCAAAGTATTTAAAAATTTGGTTTTATTAAACTAGATTTATTGTTTAAAGGAAATGTCACGCCAAACTGTCGAAACTGAGTCAGGTCGACCAAAAGGAAATAAAAGAATATATGTTAAGAAATGGTCGAAATTGGTTTAGTCGATCAAAGGGTGAAAGACAAGGAAAATGGTTGAAATTAATTTTTGTCAACCAAAAGGATTTTTGGACTTAGAGGAATTGTTGTTGATTTTTAAATCTTACCAAAGGGAAAGTGTCGAAGCGAGTCAGAAGCGGTTTACTTTCAGAAGCTAGGAGCGAGAAGATTTAAATTTCAAAGTCATCAGCAGTTGTCAACGGTTTACAATTTGTTTAAGCGCCAAATAGGTGGCAACATCCAGTGAAGCGGTTGTCTCAAAATTTTAATATCGTCCGTAGATTTTATCTAGGCAGTTACATTGTAAATATTATAAATAAGCAGATTTAGTGTATTTTTTTGGTGTGTTCACTTGTATGCTCAAATAACTTGTCAAAACTTTGTCATTATGAGCGTTAGGAAACAAAGAGCAAAAAAGTGCTTGATGTACGTGAATCACCACTTTTATTTCAATGCAAATCCTTTATTTTTCAATTATCTCTTTTGAATACTTTATTTGCTTTCTATATACTGTCGAACAAAGTCTTTACGTTATTTTCTATTTCGTGTAAACAATTCAATACTCTCTGTCAGTCATGAGTCACTAGCCAGTTAGTTTATTGAACCTTATTTTCATATGAATACCTTCGGTCGGTCACGAGTCACCAATCAGTCGATCGATTCATAGTGTGGAAAGTCGTTATACTTGTTCCCTTAGTCACGGAAAACTGTTTCCCTTGATAAGGATTTCGATAGAATAAGTATAATAATAAAACTCTTAGCACATGTCTTAAGATCAACTGGTCGATCTTGCGAGTTACCCTTAGTTTTAAGACTTTGGGAAGACTAACAATTGTTTACCATTTTCCACAGTAAACAATTATACTATCCATTCTCAAGCTATAGACAAAGTGTCAACTATCGACCATAACTCAAACAAAAAGTCTCAAGTTGCAAGAGAAATCTCGAACACACATGTCCTTGTAATCCCCACAAGTTGTAAGTCTTACTGATATAAGATTCATAAATATTAAGATTTAAATGAATAGAAAAAGAATTGCCACTTCACATTAATTCCGCAAGATTTAAATGAATAGGAAAAGAATAGCCACTTCTCACTAATTCCGCACTTCATGTATACAACATGGTATGGATAACGAAGAAAGAGGCGACGATGAGTTGAGTGTAAATATCTTTAAGGATAACTTAAAAATTACTTGAAAGCATCAAATGTCTCTTAGAAAAGACTATGGTGTTATTTAGTGACAATGACAAAATAAATAAATAAATTTAAATATACATTAGTAGTGTATATATTCTCTAAATTCTATTAGTAGTGTATATATCTTCTAAATTTTATAGTTCAAAATAAAGAAATAAAATGAGACGGACAAGAATGTCAAAACTAAGGGGTAGAGATAATAAATCTAAAATTTGTAAACTTTAGATATATCATATGAGAGGATTTAACATGCCACCTCATATTTATACATGACGCTCCATCATATATATTTTTATTATTATACTCTTATAAATAATTACTAAATTTCAAAAACATGAGTTGTATTGGAAATTTCAAGAAAATTTCAAAAAAAATTTCAGAATTTTCGAAAAAATACAGGATTTTTCGAAAAATCTAGTACTTCATTTTTCAGAATTTTTTTTACACTACCGAAAATTTCAAAATTTCCAATACAATACCAAAAATTTCCAATACAATATTAGAAATTTCACTATATTTCAAAATAAAAAAAAAACCAAAAATTTTACCAAAAAAATCAGAAAATTATGAAAAACTACCGAAAAATTAGTCCTTTGTAAACCTCCTCAATTTATCAAGGAATATTTTTAGAATAATGAAAATTAAAAGGAGGCCATGTATAAATTAAGGGGGTGTCAGGTGTGATGTTAAATCCTGGTCCAAGAGTCCAAATAAAAAAACCCAACAAGTTTTTCCGTACTAATCTCAAATTGGAACGAAAAATGCGCGAGGGTTTTAGTTTCTTCCTCCAAACTCCTAAACCCTTCCATTTCATTTCCTCTTCTACCACACTTCACGCAGATGGAGTAACTCAACTGCAACAACCACTGCATCCATCATTTCTAAACGATGAACCATCTTCTCCGAAATAATCTTCTCTTTTTCACTTCCTCACGTTCATCATCGCAATCTCGCACGCTTCTCGTTCGGTTTCAACTATGCGAGTTCTCATCTTCTCATACTCCCTATTCCCACTGGAAGCGTCACGACGATGAATCCCGCAATGTTAGGGTTTCGGTGTGGTGGGATTTCGAGAACTGCAACGTGCCTGCTGGTGTTAACGTTTCCAAAGTAGCACCTGCTATCACTGGCGCTGTTAGAGCTAATGGAATTAAAGGTCCCGTTCATATTACCGCTTTCGGCGATGTTTATCAGATTTCAAGGCCTAATCAGGAAGCACTTGCTTTCACTGGGATTCATCTTACTCACATTCCAAACGGTTCGTTTCAGTTCCTCTCTTATTTGGAATAATTTGTTGGTTTTGTTTTAATAGTATTTAAACCTAGATATTCAATTTCAGTGTATGGGAATAGAAAATAAATAGAAAAAAAATATCATGCTGCATTCAATTGATCCCCATTTTTGGCAAAACTATATAGTAATTTGCAATGTTTCTGAGAATTCAGTGGGCTAAAACGCCGTCTTTGGAAAATTTGTTAATTACCTTCAATTTATTCGTTTTTTTCAAATTATTACCGGTGTTGACGTGTCTGTCTCCAGTGGCGGAGCCAGAAATATTATAAAGCCTAGGCGAAAAATTAAAGATCGCAAATTCACATTGTATATAATATATAAATACTCATCAATCAAAATAACATCAAAATAACATAGACTCGCCATTTTGTCCACAAAAATATAGTTTAAAATAAAAGAGACAAATATAACCTTACAATAGCGGGTTAAATAAAATTACGAGACAAATGTCCTTTTCGAGACTTTTTTGCGGTGAATGTTCGAATAATATCAATATCATTAAGTGATTTGAATATCTCCCGCTCAGTGTAACATACCATCAAGTCATTGAACCACACATCATTGATCTTATTGCGCAATTTAGACTTGATAATCTTCATTGCTGAAAAAGCTCTTTCAACGGATGCTGTTGACACCGGCAATATCAAAGCTAACTCAATAAGTTTATAAACCAATGGAAATACTAAATGTTTCTCAGTTTGAACCATCTTCATAGCCAAACTTTGAACATCTTCACAAGTGGAAAATGAAGCATTTCTTCTCACTTGAAGAACATAAGTCTCAAGTGGATCCCTTATTGTTCCTCGGTCATCATCAGAAAAGTCTACACGATAAATATCCGCAAGACGAGCACGCTTATCAACATTAAACTTGGAGAAAGAGTTTTTGGGATCAAGACATGAAAAACAATTAAGGATAATGTTACTTTCTTCACTAAAGCGATGATCCATCTCCACACATATTTTGTCAATAGCAACATAAAAAATCTCTGCACGGTAATGATGAAGATTAGTGACAGTCCTCCCTTCTACCCTTGAACGACCCCGAACCGGTATTTCATCATCCATATTTGGAACTGGAATACCTTTAGCAACACAAAAATCTTGGACATCAGAAAATAAATTATCCCAACCACTCTCTCTCGTTGTGGCCAATCGAGCTTTGACATCATCAACTAATTCCATGGCAATCACAATATTAAGATCTTTTCTTTGCAAGACATTTGAAAGCTCGTTTGTGATACCAAACAACTTTAACATTAATTTCAAAATGAAAGCAAATTTAAAGCTCTCCATTTTTTCTATCAAACCCGCTGCTTGAGATGGTCCACGTCCATCTTCATCAACCATACTAAGCACCTTTAACACAGAGGGCCACATTTGATCCAAACGAAGCAATGTAATATGATGTGAACCCCATCTAGTATCCCCAGGTCTTGTGAGATTAGATGATTGGTGCAAGCCCCTATCAAAGCATCCCTCCTCTTACAAGATGCACTTGTTGTGGTCACAATCAAGGAGATGTACTCAAAGAAATCATGAATAGATGAGCAACTACTAGTAACAGACACAACAACTAATTGCAAGCGGTGAGCATAACAATGAACATAGAAAGCATAAGGATTTTCATCTAGAATTTTTCTTTGCAAACCATTAAATTCACCTCTCATATTTGAAGCTCCATCATATCCTTGCCCTCGTATCCTTGAAATCGATAACGTGTACTTATCAAGAATACCATAAAGAGCATTCTTTAATGACTCAGATGTAGTATCTTTGACATGATGTAGAGAAATAAATCGTTCCACAACATTTCCTTTGTCATTCAAAAACCTAAAATAAATTCAACAAGTTTACTTGGCGGCATAAAAAATAATAGGTCATGAAAATTAGAAAATACAACTACTAACCTCAACATCACCGCCATTTGCTCTTTGACGGATATATCACGTGACTCGTCAATAAGCACGGAGAATTGTCTATCACCAAGCTCTTCCATAATCACCTTGGTAACTTCATGTGCACAACATGTTGCAAGCTCCTTTTGAATGTCACCGCAAGTCATTGTGCAATTTTTTCCACCACGGTCAAAAGCGTCCCTCACTTGTTCATTTTGAGATTTTACCCAATCTACCATCTCTCTAAAATTACCCTTATTTAGAGAAGTAGAGGATTCATCATCTCTCTAAAGAACAAGTCAAACGAATCTTATATAATTCTTCTGATTCCTTGGTTGCTTTAGCAAACTTACTTGTCACACTTTGTCTTTGATTATTATAATCATCATAGTGCTTGACACATGAGTTATGCAAACTATTATGACTACCAACCTGACCTTTCAAGCCTTGAGATGCATGCTTCCAATCTCTATATCCACTTTTAGTGAAGACTTCAAAACCAAAGTGCTCGGCCCTCCCGGGTTTCTTAAAGAGAAAACAATAAAAACAATAAGCTGCATCCTTTATCTCACTGTATTCTAACCATGTATAATTCTTATACCATGATTTACTAAATGATCTTTTAACACTCCCAAATGTAGTACGAGGAAAGCTTGGCAAATCTGGTTGCATTGGACCCTTCAATATATATGCCCTCCTCACTTGGTCTTGAATATCCGGAGCATACTCATTAATTTGTTTCCTATGACCTGGATCTCGCACAATCTCATTTGGATTAAACTCATTAACCACATTAGATGGTGGTTCTAATTCGACTTCCGATTGCACAACATTCACATTCTCAATATTTTCTCTAGCACCCAAAAATTTCCTCATCTCTAAACAAAAGATAAAATAATTACAAAATTGTAGTTTCAAAATTTAAAAGAATAATAATCAAATAAAACAAATAAGAATTAACAATGTTCTTCAAATAAATAAAATAAAATTTAAAATAATAAAAATCAAACAACCTAAATTCTAATAAATAAATTAGTATTTGTAATTGTATATGGTTAATCAAACAACCTAAACTCTAATAAATAAATAAATTAGTACATGATTAATCAATCAACCTAAACTCTAATAAATAAATTAGAATCAAACATGAAATTAAACAAGGCAAATTATTATGTATCTATGTCTATCTAGTATATCAATTCAATTTTGTACTAATTTAGTGGCTTAAAAATACAAAGCATTTAAGCATACATGTGTCTATGTATCATGTATGTCTATCTAAAAGTACAAAAAGACAAGAATTATATATGTGTCTATCTAATACTATGCCAACATATTAGTAATCTAGATTATCTCTGTGACAAACATAACATACCAAATAGTATTTTATAAAACACATATAGTTTCTAGTATATTCATATTATATAGAAAGAAAGAGAACACACATTGCATCTACTATTTAATAACCAAATTTATATTACCTGCATATAGCCTGTAGAAATAATATAGCCTATAGAAATGATGATAGATTGCACAAGGATTAAACAGATAGAAGAACACAGATTGAACAGGATGAAGAAAAGTGAGCAGCGGCAGGCAGTTTTTTTTCTCTGTAGGTTTTCCTAATTTTAGGTTTTTCCAATTCTAACTTTCACTATTTTTTCTTTTTCTTTTAATTTTATTTAATACTAAAAAAAAATTGGGCTGGGTACTAAAAAAAAAATTGGGCCGTTGAGCCTGGGCATTTGCCCAAGCTGGCCGTATGCTGTATCCGCCTGTGTCTGTCTCGGTGTCATGTCCGTGTATGTGTCCGTGCCTCATAGGCCTAAATTGTGAGGATTTGATTTAGTAATCATGGCTGATAGAGATAGTATAGCTAATAGATAGGGATTAGTTAGTTTCTGTTATTGATATTGCTGAGCTGTATTGTTTGTTACAGTCAGTTACAACTTTCCTACATTATGCAATTCTATCATTATGCAATTCTATCATGGTAACTAGAGTTTTCTTTTTTGATCTAGCAAAACGATTCTATGGATCTTTTATTTCCGTCTTCGCAAGTGAAGCTTTCACACTTGATATCCGTCAAGCTTGATGACAAGAACTTCAAGCAGGGGAAGCAACAGATCGATGGCGTTGTTCGTGGTCATCGTCTGCAACGTTTCGTCACCGTGTCGGTGATTCCTCAACAGTCATCGTTCGTTTCTGATTCAGCACTTCACGGTGCGAATTCTGCGTATCTTGATTGGGAACAACAAGACACACTCATCTGTACGTGGCTTCTGTCCACCATCTCCGATTCACTTCTACTGAAGCTCGTGGATTGTAAGCATTCATGGCAGGTCTGGACGGAAATTCATCGTTATTTCAATACGCTTCTCTCCACCAAAGCACGTCAGTTACGATCAGAACTGCATCGTCTCATGAAAGGAGTGCTTACAATCGAGGAATTCATGGTTCGAGTCCGTGAAATCAGTGAATCACTGATTTCGATTAGAGATCCTGTTCCTCTTCGTAACCTAATTGAAATTGTCCTCGATGCTCTTCTAGAAGAATACGACTCCATTGTTGCTACTGTTAATGGTAAAGAAGAACTTGATTCTCTTGATGAGCTGGAGTCGTCGCTTCTTGCGCATGAGTTGCGCTTGGAGAAGCATCGAAAAGCTGTAATCACTGAGCCTGTAACGGTGAATCTAACACTTGTAGCGCCGCCGTCTACGACGGTCCCCACGGATTCGTCTATCACAGAAGCGTTTCCTCAGGGTACGATTCACGTTATGGCCAATGCTGAGAATCACGGTTACAACGCGCGCGAAGGTCGTGGTGGTGGCCGTGACGGCCGTGGCGGTGGTCGTTTTGGCAAAACGCAATGCTAGATTTGTCACAAATTTGGACACGATGCGTCTATCTGCTATCATTGTTATTCTAACTCCAGTGGTGCTATGTATCCACCTCAGAGAGCTCCCTACAATCCATTTCTAATGCCATTGCGTCCTATGTACCAACCTTCTTTTGGTTATGCTGCTCCCAAAGCCACTCCTCCTAGGGCTTCTGCACCTCAAGCTTTCTTTACAGGTTCTGAAGCTAACTTCAACAATCAATGGTGGTATCCGGGCTCTGGTGCATCTCACCATGTTACTCCTGATGCCTCAAATTTGTCAGACTCCATTTCTTTGCCTGGATCAGAGTAAGTCTATATGGGAAATGGCCAAGGTTTGTCTATCAACTCTGTTGGTTCCATGTTCTTTCCTTTACCAAACTATCCTAACATGTCTCACACCCTTCAAAACCTTTTACTTGTGCCTCACATCACCAAAAACCTGATAAGTGTAAGCAAATTCGCTCAAGATAACAATGTTTTCTTTGAATTTTACCCTAAATTCTTTGTTGTTAAATCACATGCTTCTTCTGAAAGTTCTTCTTCGTGGTTTAGTTGGAGATGATGGCCTCTACAAATTTCCCAATCCCGCCACTCAACTGTCCAAGTCTACTCCCAGTCTTAACACATGCTTAACTCAACCTTCTTCCATGAATAATTGTAGTACAGCTTGTAGCCACATCTTGTACTTCTGTAGCACATAGTAGTGATACTTCCAGTTGTATGTTCAATTGTATTCCTTCATGTAACCTTGTCTTATTCAATAATAATACAATGAACATGTGTCACAATTCTCCCCATATCAATGCTGTCACTCATAATGATGATTTATCCTCTCAGCATGTTAACAGTTCTTCATCAATAGCCAACAATAAATATGTTTTGTGGCATACCAAATTAGGGCACCCACATCATCATGCTCTTACTGAAATTTTCAAACTGTGCCACCTCCCTATCCCCCCAAAATCCCCTGCTGAACTGTGCACTGCCTGCTGCTTAGGCAAATCCCATAGGCTACCCACCTCCCTATCCACTACTGTGTACAGTCAGCCCTTTGAGCTTGTTGTTTGTGACCTATGGGGACCAGCTCCCATGACCTCTTCAGGTGGCTACACACATTTTCTGACCTGTGTAGATGCCTTCTTTAGATTTGTTTGTGTGTTTCCCCTTAGACTTAAGTCTGACACCCTAACTTAATTAATCCAATTTAGAAAATGGTGGAACTTCAATTTAACTGTCAAATAAAATGTGTTCAAAGTGACGAGGGAGGTGAGTTCAGGCCCTTCACAAGTACCTCACTGATTTGGGCATTGTTCATAGGTTTACATGTCCACACACACCACCAAAATGGTATTGTTGAACGCAAACATCGCCACATTGTTGAAACTGGCCTAACCTTACTTGCTCAGTCTACCCTCCCATTAAAATTTTGGGATCATGCTTTTGTCACAACTGCTTACCTTATCAATAGACTCCCTAGTCTCACACTTGACAACCACTCCCCTTACTCTAAATTACTTAACAAACCACCTGATTACTCCACCCTTAGAGTGTTTGGCTGCTCCTGTTATCCTTTCCATCGTCCCTATAACTCCCATAAATTGGACTATAGGTCACTAGAATGTATATCTCTTGGCTATTCTACAGCTCACAAGGGATATAAGTGTTTTTCCCCTAATGAACACATTTACATATCTAAAGATGTTTTGTTCCATGAGTCCAAATTTCCTTACTCCACTATGTTCCCTACTACCTCTCACCCTACTCCAGCCTCATCCCCTCCCTCTCCTACTGTACCTTCTTGGTCTATGCCAGTTCTTCTACTCCTGCACCTATTCAGCATGACAGCTCCTCATCTTCTTCTTCAGCCAATTCACCTCCATCCATTCCTTCCAACACTGAACCTGTTTCTTCTCCCAGCCCTTTGCCATCCTCTGTACCTTCTGGTCTGTCCACAGCACCACATACACCTAGCTTGTCCAACAATTCCTCTCCTGCACTTATTACTTCTGACCCAGCAGAAGTCAACACCATCTCTCCATCTTCACCCCAAAATCACCCTTTCATCAAGCACAAATCACCCCAAAATCTCCGTCTTCAGTTTCTAGCCCTGTTTCTCCAAGCACAAATCACCCTTTCATCAACCCCCTAAATATTCACCCTATGCAAACTAGAGCTAAACGAGGCATTACTCTACCTAGACTCAATCCCACCCTGCTACTTACTCATATGGAACCAACATCTGTTGGTCAAGCTTTGGCTGCTCCCCACTAGTTTCAGGCAATGAAGGAAGAGTATCAGGCATTGATGAGAAATCAGACCTGGATGGACACTGCATCATCATTTGAGTCTAGAAAGCCCATCGGCTGCAAATGGGTTTTCAGGATAAAAAAATAATCCCGATGGCCATGGTTGTCAAAATCGGGATTTCACTCAAGATCATTGGAGCATGAAAAAAGCGTGGATCATAAGATCCTAAATCGGATCGTAAGATCCCACAAAATCAACAGGATTATAAAAATAACTAAAAAAAATATAACATTAACATAATTCCAAAATTCCAAAATTTAACATAAACATAAACTTCCAAGATAAATAAATCATCCAAAATCTAAAACATTCAAACATCCTTTGAAGATAATAAACATAAACTTAAATTAAACATAACATAAACTAATTTAACAAATCCTTCAACACATCTTGAGCAAGTCCTCCATCATCTTCATCTTCATCTCCTCCATCATCTTCATCTTCAACATTGTGAATAACCTCCAAATCATCTTGATTTCCAATTTCATTCTCTCCATCATTTTGATTGAGAACTTCCAAATCTCCTTCAATTGTGAAATCCAAAATATCATCATCTAATGAACCTTGATTATTGTCCACGACGATCCACTCATCATCCGATTCAATGTCATCAATGCTATATTCTATCATCTTTCTTGTTTTTTCTTCTTTGTCAACTTTGAATTTGTCATTTCAAAGGCACTCCAATTTCTTTCACATCCCAGTGAGCTACAAGTTAAGCTAAGGACACGAATCGCAAACTTCTGTAGCTCGGGATGCTCGTCCCCATATGATTCCCACCACTGTGCCGGAGTTTTATTTTTAAGCGCCGCCAATGCTATCGAACTACCAAAAAACTTTGCCTTTCTCTTGAAATCTTCCAATTGGATATCAATCTTACTTATTTCTTCTACATCTCCAATCATCATTTCCATACAATCATATAACCCCCGTTTCACTTCATAGTCAGGTTTAAACTAGAGCTATAATGCAAAATCGGGTTGAGATAGTAACCCGCAGCATGCAAAGGCCTGTGCAATTATTTATCCCACCTTTCATCAATTATATCCCATAGAGGCTTGTAACTAAATAAAAAGAAGAAAAAACAGTGAGCAAACTGAAGCTGATTTGAACAGAATTTGAACTAGCAAATTTGAACAAAATTTAACATAAAACAGTGACCGAAACAGAAGCTGATTTGAACTAGAAAATTTGAACAGAATTTAACATAAAACAGTGAGCAAAACTAAAGCTGATTTGAACAGAAATTGAACTAGAAAATTTGAACAGAATTTAGTAACAGTGAGCAGAATTCAAGTGGATTTACATAGAACAAATTTAATTATTACCTTCTTTGAACACCATTGAGCTTGAATTTTCTCTTTAGCTTGGTCCATTACCTCATAAATTAATCCCATTGCAGGCATTTCACCAGAATCCACGGAGTACTTTGATTAGTGGATAACAATATTTTTTCGAAACTCTTTATCCATAACAACTTCTTCAACTTGCTTTCCTTGACTTGTTTTTGAAACTTGGTTGCCGTCCACTCATAAGATGTGAACATTCTTATCAGTCCTCCTTTATTCTCCATGAGACACGCCAAAGTTAAATAAGATGTCGCAAATCGAGTAACCGCGGGTCTCACCAAATCCTTTCCTTTAGTATGAATTTGTAATAAAGAAATAAGGGAAGGCTTTGAATAAATGAATTGAGTGATTTTCTTACCTTTTGAAATTGTTTCATTGTGAACTGGTATTTTTTTCTCAAAATCCTCTAATATGAGATCAATGCAATGTGCCGCACACGGTGTCCAGTAGAGATTCTTTCGCTTTTCCATTAACATTGTACCTGCTGCTTTGTAGTTGGCAGCATTGTCAGTGACAATTTGTACAACATTCTTTTCTCCCACATCTTCCACAATGTCATCAATCATCTTAAAAATTGCATCAGCAGTTTTGTAATGTGTGAAGCATCAATAGAGTTTAAAAAGACCGTACCTTTAGAACTGTTCACTAAGAAATTCAAAATTCTTCTTCTTTTGTCTATCCACCCATCACTCATAATAGTGCATCCGTTCTTCTCCCAAATAAGTTTGTATTCTTCAATGACTTTCTTTTTCTCCTCCATTTTATATTTCAAATACTTTGTTCTAATTTCATGATATGAAGGTGCCTTGAATCCAAGACCATGTCTTGAAACCAACTCCAACATTTTTTGAAATTCTTCACTTTTTGCCACATTAAAAGCTATGGCATTGTTGTAGAAGAATGAAGCAATTTCAATACAGGCTTCTTCTCTCAAATTCTTTTTGAAGATGGAGTTAATGGTGGATTGAGTACTCCCTCCCTTCTTCTTGAAAAGCTTTGCAGACGTAGCATTACCATCATCCTCCACTGGCCTCTTTCCGATTACTATTTCATCTGCGTCATCGGCTGTTTTTCCAGTAAAATGTTTTGCAGAGATTTTAATATCTCCCACATTTGGACTTTAACATCATCTGGTACAGACTTACATGCCCCAAAAATTTATCTGTGCACCAGCCAAATGATGTTTCAGCCGGTACACTCCTCCGATCACTTCCTTTGAACAATAGTTGTATTTGTTTTTCTTGAGGTTTTGGTGGTGCAGATGAGGAAGCATGAACTGGAATGGAAGACATTGAAAAAAAATCGTATTGAAGAATAGAATAGAATAAGGTAGAAATCGTAGAATAAGAAAATATATCGGGAGATTGTTGAGAGATGAATAAGGAATGAAGGCAATTTCAGCTAACAATGTCACACTGTATTTTGTCCATATAGATGCAAGACTTTCTGAAATGTTTCATTCATTTAAGTTTTTATCTTTTCAAATTATAATGTCTTGAAGTAATTCGTCGCAGGTGGAAAGAATAGTGCTGATAGATCTCTTCTTGTTGATCTTATGTATTGGGTTTCCCAAAATCCTCCACCTGCACATCTCTTTCTGATATCTGGTGATAGAGACTTTGCTGGCATATTGCACCGGTTAAGAATGAATAACTATAATATCTTGCTTGCAAGTCCTGGAAAGGCTCCTGATGTTCTCCTCAGTGCAGCAACTATAATGTGGCAGTGGTCATCTTTGCTCAAGGGAGAAGATCTAACTGGAAAACATTTCAACCACCCTCCCGATGGTCAGTTTGGTTCTTGGTATGGAAACTCTAAAGTGTCTCTTGAAAACCCCTTTTCCGCTGCTGAGCAGTCAACATCTTCACAAAATATACAAGTCACGAAATTCAATGAACCCTCCTTTGACTTAAAGGTAGGTGGAGGAGTTCCAAAGTCAGTTAAAAGGCGGATTAAGGCTATATTGAGTTTACATCCAAAAGGCATTGGCATTTCAGAACTTCGTGCAGAGCTAACAAAATCTGATGTGTCTTTGGGTAAAAGCATATTTGGATATAAAAGGTTTTCTCGCTTTCTATCATCACTACCAAATGTACAACTCCGGCATTTAAGAGATGGTAATTATTGTGTGTATTTGATCCCCTCAGGATACCATGAACCTTCTGAAAGCAGCAGTACTTTATCAACAGTATCTTCTGTTAAGAATGAGGAGATGGGCTGTACAACAACTCCAAAGCTATACAGTGAAGATAAAGACATAAATAGAGACTTGCATAAGACTCTCCCAATGTCTTCATTGGATGAAAAGATCATTGGGGATGATTCAAAATCATTCCAATCTACCCCTTTACAAGGAATACATATCGAGGAAGACGGGTCGCGTAAATCACTCCAATCTATCCCTTCACAAGGAAAGCCTATTGAAGAAGATGTGTCACGTAAATCATCTATAGGCAGTGAGAAGGTTCTGGATGTGTCTAATGCACAATTGTCAGAGAGTCATCTTTCATCAAAGGAAAATGATGTTTACAAAACTGATATTGGTTCCTTTAAATCTATAAAGTTTTCTGATGATGAAGTTGTTAGGTCTGAGGATGTAAGTCCAAAAGTTCTTGAAAAATATACCAGTTCAGGGAATCCCTCTACTGGTATTGATCACACAATGATGGAAAACAATGTAGTAAATTGTGAATCTGGAAAATCTATAGCAAAGAACAAACACGATAATCAACCTAGAAAGGAGGTCGATGATTACAGCCCATATTCTTCAGCCATTGGTGACTCTCTGGTTGACAAAAGACCCGATGTTCATGCTGAAACTTACAGCAAAAGGTCAACATTCTTTAATTGGATTAAAAGTTGGTTGCCATTTCAGAAAAGCAATGTAAAAGCTGATGATTCTACTGCTAATCAGAACAAGGTGACTAGTAATTTTGAGGATTCTAATTTATCCGAACTAGACCAGACTGCTAGTAATCTTGAAGAACCTAAGCCATTAGAACAACAGCAGTATGTTAGTAATTCTGGAAAGCATGAGGATTCCAAGTTACCTGAACTAGACCAGACTGCTAGTATTCTTGAAAAGGCTAAGCCATTAGAACCACACCAGGATGTCAGTCATTCTGGAAAGCCTGAGTTATTTTCTAGTGGTTCCTTTTGGAATGACATGGAATCTTTTGTTTTCACCCCCAAAGGATCACTTCTTATTTCCCAGTCTAGAAGCAGGTTTGTGTGATAGTTTTCCTTTTTCTTTGTTAATTCCTTCTTTGTTCTAATATGAGCCCCGACTACTGAAGAAAAAAATGCAATACATCAATTGTATCATATAGCTTCTTAAAAGATTATTATTGGGCTGATTTTTGAAAGATTAACTTAGTAATGTTTTGTGTCAGGGAGGATTTGGCTCATAAACTACAAAAACATGGACCCGTGGTTCTTAAATCTTTTGCTGAAAACGATATCTTTCAATTGGTGGAACTGTTGATAGCAGAAAAAAAATGGTTGGAGGAGAGCCCCTCTCATACATTTCCTTTTAGGCTAACTCAATCAGTTCTGAAGAGCATGCCGATGGGCCAGTCTAATGGTACAAGTGGTTTGAGATCTCTGTTTCTTAGTAGAACATCGCAGTCCAACTCGCAAAAGTCATTTGAACATGAAGGGGAGAAACACTCTCAGAGTACTCAGCAAACAGAAGTTTCCAAACCTGCCACTGAAACAAAATATACTGAGAAGTCTAGAAATGATATATTACAAGATTGTCAGAAACTGGTAACTGATGTATTGAAGGAACACCCAGAGGGATATAACTTAAGTTGTTTTCGAAAACAATTTACTGATAGATATGGCTATGACCTTGACATCAAAAAGCTTGGTTATCAGAAGCTGTCATACCTGATACAGATAATGTCCGGGGTTAAGTTTGAATCCCCTTACATTTACCCTTCTACACCTGCTGTTTGTGCTTCTGACTCGGACACTTCTATCCTCAAAACTCGAGCAACCAATGCTAGTCATGAAAAATTCAACTCATATAATGAGTTATCTGATACAGCCCCAAAAGAGTATAACACGGAATCTCCTTGGGAGGAATTAGGTCCTATTTCTCTTAAAAGTTCTAGTCAGAATGATCAGGAATCAAATTTAACTCAAGAAGTCATCGGACTGAATACACCAAAGTATCCTGATTACGAACCCATTGTCTCAGATTATGATTTGTCTGAATCTGAAGGAGAAAACTCTTGTTCAACTCAATCAGAAGATCAAGTAAAGCCAAAATATGATGAGCAAGACAGTTCTTTTTGGCAAGCTCTGGATTCCTGGCATAGCAGCAAGGAAGAAGAGAGTAGTGTCAAGAAATCCGAAAACATTGATGTCTTAGGCAATTCTCTGCTTGACATCTTAAATTCAGCCCCAGACTCGAAACAGGGTATCGACGGTATTGTTTCCAACAAAGAAAAGCAAAGATCTCATAAGTATTCATTTGTTGTTGACCCAGCCTCACCTGACAAAGACAAGTTTATTGGTGGGATATTAGATAGTTTGAAAAAAGAGGATGAGCCCAAGATGCATCATAACTGAGGATTTTCATTACTCAAGATTACACAGACAAAAGGAAGTGCTGACACTTTATATCAAGGAAATGCAGTTTAAGCTTACCATAGTACTGATTCGTTAGCATCCAAATTTCAACTAGAAATTCTTTCTGTTTGATCATTTATTTTAGTATGGCTGAAGGAACATTTGAGTATGGTATTTACGTGCCTTTTTGGTACGTTATCACACTTTGACAGGAGCATGTGCCATACGATGAGGTAAAAACCCAATTTTTTAAGGCCTATTATCCTCTCTACTTAAAGGCCAATTATACCTCGTTTTCTTATATATAAAAATTGCACTCCTTTTTTCTTTTAGGCTCTAAATTCACTTTAGGCCTTCATTTTTAAAATTGAAGTAGAGCTATCTTGCTTTTGTGAAACTGAACTTGACTTGTAGTTGTGTTGTAGTGAAGTTGAATTTTTCAGCCTCATGAAATCTCATAACCTCTTTCAGAGACAAAGATCACCTGCATGAAAAATAGTGGAAGTTGGATTTTGCCCGTGTTGTGACATTATAAAAAATAGCGGACAAAAATCCGAATATTGTAAAAAAAATAAATCAATCAAAAGTGTGATTTTAAAAATTGAATGACAATTAATTTTGGTCATTAATATGGAGATTAAAAGTATGTTTAAATCTTGTTTTATCACTTGTTTTATGAGTGGAGATCCAGTTTATTCCTTGAAAAAAACGGAATTTAGTTCCTGTACTTGTTTTAAGTATCGTAGTTAGTCTTTGAGAAAATTAATTTGTCTTTATTTGATTGATGAAGAAATATAAAGGAAAAAAATGAAACAAAAAGAGAATGAATAGAAAATTTAGTTGTTTGGATTTAGAGAAAATAAAAATAAATTAGAGAAAAAAAATAGTTAATACCATGACATAGATTTATTTAAGAGTATAGGTACCGCTGTGTTATGTGCATTTGAATTCAAAAATAAATTTAAATCAAAACAAAATATTTAATGATAGTTAATATATTATATAAAAATATAAAGTTAAAATGTAATAATAAAAAAAATTAAAGAATTAATATTGTGTAAAAATTAAAGACAATATCTTTTTTAGTTCTGTATATTAACGTAAGGTTTATTTTGGTCCTTTAACTTTAAAAAAAGTTTATATTGGTCTATTAATTCTTAAAAACGCTTTATTTTAGTTCTTTTTGTCTAATTAGTGATAAAAACTCAAAAATCGATCGTTAAGAGATCAAAAAATATATTTTGCCAAAATTAAAAATTAAAAAGAAATAAAAATAATTTTAAAATAATAATTTATTGTTAGTAAAAACTCACAGAAGTGTTTCAAATTTTATGATAATTTTAATCTCTGTATAGACTCAAGTTTGATGACATTCATTATATTATTTTTATGGTGAAATGAAATCCTAAAAATGGTCTTTGTTTATAAAATTTGTAAAAAAAATTAATCGAAATTAATGGAATTTTTTTTATCAGTAATTTAATATTCTCAGTAACTTCATATTCCCGTTAATATTCAATATTTTGATCAATAACTTCGTGTTCCCGTTAATATTCAATATTTTGATCAGTAATTTCGTGTTTTCATTAATATTTAATATTCTGATTAGTAATTTCATGTTCCCGTTAATATTCAATATTTTGATCTGTAATTTCATGTTTCCGTTAATATATTTTGATTAGTAACTTCACATTCTCGTTAATGTTCAATAATTTAATCAGTAATTTCATATTTCCGTTATTATTCAATATTTTGATCAGTGACTTCACGTTTTCGTTAATATTCAATATTTTGACTAGTAACTTCATGTTCCCGTTAATATTCAATATTTTGATCAGTAACTTAATGTTTCCGTTAATATTCAAAATTTTGATCCGTAACTTCGTATTCTCGTTAATATTCAAAATTTTGATCAGTAACTTCGTGTTAGCTTTAATATTCAATATTTTGATCAGTAACTTCAAGTTCTCGTTAATATTCAATATTAGATCAGTAACTTCACGCTCCCGTTAATATTCAATATTTTGACCGGTAAATTCAAGTTCCCGTTAATATTAAATATTTTGATGAGTAACTTCATGTTCTTGTTAATATTCAATAATTTGATCAGTAATTTCATGTTCCCGCTAATATTCAATATTTTAAACTTCGTGTTTTCTTTAATATTCAAAATTTTGATCAATAACTTCATGTTCCCGTTAATATTCAATATTTTGATCAATAATTTCACGTTCTCGTTAATATTCAATATTTTGATCAGTAATTTCATGTTCCCATTAATATTCAATATTTTAATCAATAATTACATGTTCCCGTTAAAATTTAATATTTTTATCAGAGATTTCATATTTCCGTTAATATTCAATATTTTTATCAATATTCAAAATTTTGTTCAATAATTATATGTCCCGTTAATATTAAATTTTTTGTTGACTAAAATTAATTTTGGGTGTATATTTGGCAATAGAGAGAAACAAATTTAAATTCACAATGAAGGAAGATTAAGATTGAAAAACATAGTGTGGAAAATAGGCGTCTCTAGGAAGCTCACTTGCTTCTTGCCTTAATTGCAAATAATTGTCTCTAGAAAGATGTGCAAAATATAATTGTAGCATTCTGTCTTCAAATTCGACCAAATTAAATTAAATATCGATTAAAATTTTAACCTACATTTATCACTAAAACAAAAATATAAACAATATTACTGTCATAAATTTAGATTTTTTTAAAATAACTAACGTGTAAAATGAAAAATAAAAAGATCTTAATAAATTCATGATGTACTTACAAATAATATTTATCATTGGTTTGTTAATTACTGGATTATATTCATCTCTTTGCACTCTAAAGTGAATTATTTACTTTAGAAAAACCAGACCCCACTGTCATATGTGGAGGGCTCGACTTCAAGTCTTGTTTTTGTCGCTAAGAGTGTCCAATTTATTAAAAATTTCAGTGATTTTCTTTGTGACAACAATTAAGTCTCACCAAACAACAGAATAAAAGACAAAATGAAATCTTAAGTTTTTAAACAAAATGTTAAAGTAGCACCTTTGTAGGATGTTGACCCTTTTTGGACAAAAAGCCATCTCAAGCCATTAATATGAAAATATTAGTTTTTCTTTTATAATATATGTCCCGCTAGTAATATATGATACTTCTATCTCAAGCTAAGTGAGTTTAATATATGCTACTGTTAGTAACACTACAATTATTTGATAACATCAAATATATAATCATTTAGCTTATACTATTTAGATGCTATCTATGGTAAACACATGAAATTATAATACTTGTAAGAAATTATATTTCAAATGGGTGTTTTTGGTATTAACTTGTTTTTATACAATAAAGATTTATTTATTTTACATATATGTGCTATCACATATTCAGAGTCTTCAATTTAGCTCTTGGTTTAATTCTGAATTCTCCTACTCAAATTCCTCCTGCTCGTGTCATATTATTATATCCTTCAACAATGCATTCACAAATAAAGTTGAGAAATTATTACCCTCATGCATGGTGCTAATGTCCACCTTAGTTCCAGTAGGGACAAGAGTCTAAGATTTTCAACGCATTCATGTGTTTTTTCTATTCTCCTCTACACAACACAAGATGAAATATTTGTTTATAATATTTCATCTTATAAAATCTATAACTAAATCTATAACTAATTAACCTTGTTATAAAGTCAGTTTATGTTTACCGAAGAAATAATAGACGACCCAATAGCAAGTCCGTGCTTCCGGAATAGTAAGCTGACTAAAGCTCATAGACATCAAAATTAGAGGGAAAATTATGTGGTTCAAGAATATCCTTTAATTTTTTCACATTACAATGCATACCAAAAGATAATTTATATGACCTCAGACCTGTAGCTCAAACAACAAAAAGAGAACGAAATTATCATTACCACGAGTTATATGAGTCGAAGAAATATGGACATACCGCATGCGGATCAACAATGTAATGTAACTAAAAGTTGGACTTATCTCCTATTCATAGTTCTGAAACTAATAAAATATTTATTACACGGCGAAGTTCATAGTTCAAAACGTCTTTATTAAACACATCATCAATACTTAGTTGTCCATGATTCAAAATTCGAAACAACTTAAATACCGTGACAGATAGTTCAAAGTCTCATAATAAAACAAAGAACATAGAGTTCAAAATTAAGCGTTCTCGACCACGATGTTACATATAAGAGCAAGACCTTCTAAAAATCAACGGAGAGAAAACAACACACTCTGAGCTATCTTCTAAGCTCTTACAAACTACTCCTGATCACTTGCGCGTTACCCACGTGGAGACAGTTGTCATACCCCAAATTTGTCCGCCTTAGTGCTACCGCTAAATTTATTTTCGAACCTGGGTTTTATAGAGTATAAAATTCCTTTGATTTAATTATATTATCTTTCTGAAGTTTTTTTTAATAAAAATTTGCTTTCAAATCTGTTTGAAAATATAATAATAATTATTTGTATTTTTAAAATAGATAATATAATAATTATTTGTAATTTAAAAAAAAAATAATTGTTCGCCTTCATATATTTATTTCTGCCTTTTTACTTTCGAATAAGTAACATAGCACAATTGGTAAGCCAAAAAGACTGGCAAGCAGAAGGTTATGGGTTTGAATCTTACTTGGTCCACTTTGAATATTTTCGTTGTTTATTGAATCATATTTTTTATTATTAAATTACTATTTTCGTATTTATTTATTATATTTAAAAATATTATTATTTTTATTAAAATCATTATTTTATTTAAAAAATAGTCAAAATATCTTATAAATTAATATTTTCAAATCAATTTCAATATTTGGAATAATCATAAACAATGCTAGATTCATAATTTTGTTCACCAAATTATGGACCAAATATTCAATCAATTTCCAATCTTCAAAATTATGCCAAAAATAGATCAATCTCTATTGGTGCGCTTTAGATATTTTTTGTTACTAAATATTTTCTAATTATTTTCAAAGTCACAAAAAT